GGACGCTACTAGGGGCTCCTGGCCTTACTACTAGGAGCAAGGACGCTGCCTTACTACTAGGAACAAGGACGGTACTAGGGGCTCCTGGCATCGCTGCTAGGAGCAAGGACGCTACTGGGGCTCCTGGCCTTACTGCTAGGAACAAGGACGCTCTCCCGGCCTTTGTACTAGGAACAACCACGCTACTAGGGACTCCTGGCCTTACTACTACTAGGAACAAGGACGCCACTCGAGGCTGCTGGCCTTTCTACTAAGAACAAGGACGCTACTAGGGGCTCCTGGCCTTACTGCTAGGAACTAGGGGCTCCCGGCCTTACTACTAGCAACAACCACGCTACTTTCTTTCTTTCTTTGGGCTCATCTCCTAGTTTCTGGAGCCATGGGGCTTACGTGATATCTCACGGAGGTTTCCGGTCCTCGCGCCCTGCACAGTCATCAGTGAACAAAAATGTCGGATCGATGTCCGACTCAGCTCTTCTCACTCATGGATCAGGATCCATTTGCAACCATTCGTTAAGACCTTCGGGTTGGCCTCCATCAAGATGGGCCCCATAGAGCGAGCCGTCCCTTCGTCGAGGTGCACCATAGATCGGTCCATAGTGCTGGAGTTCATGCTGGTGATAGGACTTGGCCAGGGCATAGTTGAGGATGGCCGGGCATGCATGAGTTGGGACATTCCTCATGCCCCCCGTCACCTCAGGCAGCGCCCCACACATCAAACATGGTGTGTCAGCATGGCGGTGGTCCAGCGCTAGCAGGTCGAAGGTGCGGGTGAGAATCCAGCGGTATTGGAAGTGCCTCAAGAAGACATGCTTAGCGAGAGACTGCACATCCAGAAACAGCTGGGCGCAAGCACCACAGTGGACAGCAAAGTAGCGGGTCAGCCGTTCCTTAGTCTCAAGTTGCTGCCAGTTTCGTCGGTCCAAAAGCTGGACAAGTTCATGAACTTTGGCATCGTGCCCTCGGACATAGAAGGTTGGCATCACCTCACGATAGCGTGTCAGACGAAGGAGCCAGACACAAATCCAGTCAGCCTGTCGAGGCGGCTGATCACCTGGGTGCAGAACAGCCTCAGTGTTGTCATCGAACACTAGCCAGCCCCGAGCATGGCGGGCTACGCATTGAAGGTGCCCACACTGATCATGCCCTTTGTGCAGGAGTCCTGCTATTGGTACATACTCACGAACCTCGGTGGTCAGGCTGTCAGGTTCGGTGGCAATTGGGACCTCAACAATAGTGAGGTCCAAGTGCCAGGCTGCTTTCACCACATCACCTTGGGAATCAGGTTTGAAACGATCTATTTGGAAGCACAGTAGTGGACTGTCTCTTTCGAAGGCTGTGATCATGCCCATGTAGGTATGCCATTCATCTATCAGCTCTTGGAGAGACACCTTTTTCGCATGTGCGTGACTCGTCACCAAAGAGGGTGGTAGCCAGGCAGTACCATGATCCATGATCTTGATGTGGTTGTCGGAGTGCATTTTTCGCGCCCAGGACCCCGTCAAAGCTGGAGGTTGCACGAAGGCCAAGAAGGCCTTGAGGAACTCATGAGAGTCATGCTGGCGCCCAAAAGATCCATAAGGATTCTGGCAGCTCCACCCAAATCCACCCACTTGCCATGTTGCAGATGGATGAAACCCCAAAAGAAGGCCAAAATAGTGGCGTGGACAAAGCAAAGGTTCTCCGTGTTGATGAGCCGCAGGGCCATCACTGCACCTTTCACTTCCTCCTGTTGGATCGGCCACCGACATTCTGTCCTGTTGGTTCGAGGATTTGACCAAGGAAGTGGCCCAAGGGTTCTCTCTCTGTGTGTGTGGCCTCACCCTGGCCTGAATGGCCAGCCAGATCGAGTTGTGGGCAAGTAGGTTGAGCACTTCCCAAATTGTGCTCTCCCGGAGGGAGACATGAAGTAGA